ATAGATAGATAGATAGATAGATAGATAGATAGATAGATAGATAGATAGATAGATAAATAGATAGATAAATAGATAGATAGATAGATAGATAGATAGATAGATAGATAGTATAATATCAGAAATGAGGTTCCCGAACGTAAAATAGCATGGTGTTTGTCTCGCTACATGTCATTTTTTTTCAGTCAATAAAGTAAAATTAGCGGGATGATGTTGCACATAACTACGATTCTATTTCTGAGTCCCTGCTTTCTTGGTGAAGTGTTTCATCGTGCGAGACCTTTCTTTAACTAAGGTATTTCTACGCCACCATCGGCACAATTCAGATAGGGTACGGGCTTCCGGCCTGAGAGGGATACAATATCTCAGGAGAAAGATCGAGATACTCGATAAAAATCTTCCCTCTGTATACATACAGCGAAGCACCGAATCACTACACCACAGACGCCGGCATTTAGATCAAGGGGAATTCCCAGGGAAAAAACAGAGACTACGAGACGGTCGATAAAAATTCTCTCTGCCCGAGAATCGAACTCGGTTCTTCTGTGTATGACCAAAGATCGTGTCTAACAAGATAGTTCACTCCTCCCTTTTGAGCCAAAATTCGGTGGCGCCCTCTTTAAAAAATTGCGGGCTTTGCAATCAGAATTACACTACTAATGTGAAAAGAATAAAAGTGAAACTAACAAACTGTGCTTCTAGTATATTCCTATTCTTCTTCTGGAGAAACGAAAGAGAGCCTCAAAATAAAGACTGCAGCGCCATCTGAACCAATGCGCGGACTTCCGCGGACACTTTTTAGGCTTAGTGAACTACATCATATGTCTTGTTATCTACGATCTTTGGTACGACAGCAACTCGCCATTTGCTATTGTACAGGCGTCGGTTAGGTGAGACTTGACGTTCGTTTTTTTACTGAAATTTAAGGCGTGTTCATGTTGAAAAAATGCTTCGGGAATGAATGCAGGAGAACAAGAAGGCTTTTTTTTGTAGTTTTGAACTAGTGATATTTGTATCATTGCCTAACATGATGCCAGCTGAGCTGACGGAGTTCCTGGTTCTCATCAGTAACTTTCAATAGCCCTCTGGCTCAACTCATAATGAGTTGTTGTAGTAGAGGTTTTACGGCACTCGCAACTGCATAAGGTCATATGAGCGCCAGAAGATTAGAGGTGTTACAAGAGAGTGACAAACATAAAAAAGAAGAAGGGGAGATAAGGACGATAGATGTTTGATAGGAAAGAAGAAGCAAACCACACCAGAGCACCCGCCAACCATCCACACTCATAATGAAACATAAAGCAAATAAAAGTGAAGAAAAATGCCAACAACTTTCAGGTTGAATGCTGGAAAACAAAAGACGAAACAAGCAAACAGACAAAAGTCCC